TTAAACTCCAGGCAAAGTCAAAATTATTAAAACATTGACTGGTATTATATAACAGATACATGTTTTAACCAAAAACCTAAGTATCTGTTAAATATCGATGCAGCATGTACACTGTTCCTAATATTGCCAATTTTTGTACCTCTGAGGGTGTGAGATCTGCAACTACTTATAGTACTGTATGAAATTTCTTGATATTGTTCCCAAAGCCCCAATGACTATGGGGACCACTGAAGTGTGTTTCTTCCAGAGGCGAGATGTTTCAATTGCCAGGTCTCTGTGCTTGGTTAGTTTTTCCAATTCTTTATTTTCAACTGTGGCATCCCCTGGAATTGCAATGTCGAAGATCTAGAGATTTCTTCATTCTATTACTACTATGTCTGGTGTGTTATGTTCAAGGTGTCTATCCACTCGGATCTGGACATCCCACAAGAGCTTCACTTCCTCCTTTTCTGACACCTTCTCTACCTGATATTCCCAAGGGTTTTTGGAGGCTAACAAGTTATATTTTTTTGCATACTGGCCAGTGCACTAACTTTGGCACTCTATCATGTCTAGCTTTGTTGTTGTTGTTGTTGTTGAGTTGCAACTTCCATTTCCCTCTAAAATACGCTGGAAGAACACACAAATGTCCAGCTAGGATTTTTCCCCAAAGAAATCTTGGCAAACAGAACAACACTGAGACATTTTTCAACAACATACTAGAATGGAAATACCTTCATCTGTGTAAAAGATTCCAGTGAAAAGAACAGCATAAATAATGTCCCCATTTGGTTCATGTGGAGGATACCATTTCACTTGGACTCCTCTGGATCCACTGTTAATAACAAATACTTCAATTTTTCCTTCAGGTACATCTTCTATTGTACGAGCTTCTACCTGCAAATGTAACAACACAAGCTTTTCTTTAACTTATTCACAACAAGGTAGCCATGACATGATATAAGATACGGTTTGTGCAACTATTTAAAAAAGAAGCCATGTTGACCAAGCTGGACTCTCCAAACTAGTTTTTCAGCACCATGGCTGCGCACAAAAATATGAGAAAGTGAGCATTTGAACATATGCAGGGAACATGCGCAAAGGAAATCACAGCTGGATGCCATAGATTTTGCAATTGGAATTTGTGAGCATCAGCACCAGGTGTTGAATATTAACTTTCCAAGAACACAGCTGTGTTTCAACTGTCATCTCATGTTGAAATAAGTATTTTAGCTGAGATTTGTACACAAACTTACAAGCCGAGTATCAATATTCATCCATCCATCCATTCATTTTGTATACTGCACCACAGTGTATAGCAATCTCTGGGCTGTTTACAGCAGTAAATTTAGCCAAATAATACATAACACAATACAAATATATGATTTATATGAACAAATAATTAGTCCCCTGCCACAAGCAAACCCAACTTTAAATAAAACGAGTTGACTTTAAATCCCAGTTCAACATTAATAAAAAGCCACTTTTAAAAGTTCAGTTTTCACCTGTTTCTTAAAAACTTGGGGGGAATGAACCACTCAGACCTCTGTTGGAAGTTTGTTCCAAAGAGACAGGAAACACTTTAAGCACTTCTTTGAAAAAAGCAGCATGATTTTCATTTGGATACTAAACATTAAAGTACATTCTTCTTCTTCCATTGTCTCTTGTAGCATTAGATATCTTCCTTAAGCATCATCATCATCATGGTGGGCCGTCAATTCTGACTTATGATTACCCTTTTTTTAAGGGTTTTTGAGGTAGAGAATCCTCAAAAGTGGTTTACCATTCCCTCCTTCTGGGGGCACCCTCGGGCTGTGCAGCCGGTCCAAGGCCACACAGGACTTCTGGGGGCACCCTGGGGCTGTGCAGCCAGTCCAAGGCCACACAGGAAGTGCAATGGGGAACTGAACTCCCAATCTCTCACTCCACAGCCAAGATATCTACACCACTGAGATATCCAGCCAGATTCGATATCTTCCTTAATTGCTTATATTTACATATGCCAAAAATACAAATTTAACATATAATCAGGGATAAGCAGAACCGCTAAGGTTTGATCTGCTATTCCTTCATGTTTCCATTATACCTTCTACCCTGCTTCTCTCTCAGCTAAACAGAATTTTATCTAGTAACCCTGGGAGAGAAACCATACATGTATGCATCAGCCATATAAATGAATAAATGAACAAACAAAAACAAACAAAACAAGCAAAACAAGCAAAACAAACAAACAAACAAAACAAACAAAACAAACAAAACAAACAAATAAACAAATAAATAAAGAAATAAAGAAATAATGAACTGACCCTAATTGTCTGGTTCAACTGAAATACACATTTTTGTTGCTGAATTCTTGTTTTGTTTTAATAGATACACTGAGGAAATAGACTCCATCATCCCTGACAGAAGACAGAGCAACACAAAAAACACAGGGGGACAAAGAAAAGGACAATCACATGCTACAGTGAAGCTTTATTGATCTCCTGCTGCTCTCTTTGTTATATGAGAATAATACTCTGCCTTACTTAGACTGTGTAGTTGTAACAGTCCTTCCTGTCCCACAACAGCCCAGAACAGTGTTTGTCTCATGCAACACAGGTATCAACCCATATAAGTAAGTAAGCTTTCCAATGGAAAATGTCAGCTGTTCCATTACACCAGGGACCAAGGAGATGTCTGCCTTAGAGGTTTATGGTTAAAATGACCAGAACAGAACAGGTTGTTACTAGTAGGGGAGACTGGAACATCAGTATTGATGAATCACTTCGGCCAATCTTTCCTCAAACAAGTATTTAATATGCATCCAGATCCATAGACTACAGTTACCTGCTATTAACTATGTGTATATTTCTCTCTGTATATTTCTTTTGTTCTCCTCATTCTATTACTTACAGGATCCATCTTCTACCACATTTCATGCGGATAGTGAGAGAGACCCATGAGATGACCAACAACATTAACAAGTCCTTTCAATAACACTGGGGTTAGGGGTGCCAGACCCCTGATAACTACAACATCTATATATAACTCTTATGCCTCCAAAACATTACTACAAAGCATAAACCGTTGATTCACACACACAAACTGTTCCCCCAACCTGTGTCAGCATCCCAGCTTGCCCCAGCATCCTCCTCAGCTGCCATGTGGAGCCACTATGACAGGATTGGGGTCTAGTCATGTGGCCACCATCAGACTGGGGGCCACCCCACTGCCAACAACAAGGCTCTAGGGAAGCCTGGCACACACCTTTCTCAGGCCAATTCCTGGAGATAAATAGTATTGATTGATTGATTGATTGATTGATTGATTGATTGATTGATTGATTGATTGATTGATTGATTGATTGATTGAAAAAAATGTGCATAACCAAAATTATGCTGCTCCGATCTATGCAATTCAAGGGAGAAGTATATGTTCTTGGTTCTTCCTCTGTGGGAGACTTCTCTACTAATTAGGATTGGGAAATATATTTTCATGGGCTGCACATGACCCCACTCATTTTTGGCCCTGTGCCTTGATTTGCTCTCAAAGTGAATTTCTGCTGAAACTGACATAGCCCTGCAATCAGTTCTGGCTTCAGATGGAATGTGTGTGTGCAGTGTGCAGGAGCTGGGGAACTTTTGAAATTGCCTGCTTTGGAGGTACAATGGCGCCTTGACTTACAAACTCAATCCGTATTGGAACAGCGGCTGTTAAGTCAAAACTTTCGTAGGTCAAAGCACCATTTCCCGTAGGAATGCATTGAAAACGGATTAATCTGTTCCGGCTGAAGAAAAAAATACCAAAAAAAAAAAGAAGAAGAGGAAAATACAAGCCCCATGCTGGGACTGCAAAAAAAAATTCCCTAAAAACAAAACAACTCCGACCCTCAATCTTCCCCAACAAATCAAAAACTTTTTTAAAAAGCAGCACCTTATTGGTCCCCTCCTGGGCTTCCAGCACTGCTGCCGGGAGGCCGCTGGAACCGGCACCACGCCTGCGCAGGGTGCAGGAAGGCTGGGTAGGGTCTGGGAGGGCAAGGGGGTGGCGGTTTTGGCCCCGATGGGCCCGTGTGGGGTGAAGGGCCAAAACTGCCACCCCCCTGCCCTCCCGGACCCTTCCCAGCCTTCCTCCCTTGTGGCACAGGCCCACTGGAGCCGAAACCACCACACCCCTTCCCCTCCCGGATCCTTCCCAGCCTTCCTCCATCCCCACGTGGGCCTACTGAGGCCAAAACCACCACACCCCTTCCCCTCCCAGATCCTTTCCAGCCTTCCTCCACCCCTGCATGGGCCCACCAGGGCCAAAACCGCTACCCCCCCATAGCCCTCTGGGAGCCTACCTGGCCTTCCTCCACCACCTTTTCCTAACTGTTGGTCCGAAAGAGCTACCAAGAAACATACTCTTTCGCCACCTCTAGTTAGACATTTGAATTGCCCGCCCTTTTCCCCTGCCTTTTTCCGTTCGTAGGTCAAATCTCTGGCTGCAAGTCAAAGCAAAATTTTGCGGCCGGAGATGTCCCTAAGTCAAATTGTTTGTAGGTCAGGGCGTTCGTAAGTCAAAGCACCACTGTACTTGTTCCAGGCAAGTCCCTGAACTTGCCTCATGAGATCCATGATGGGTAACTATGCAATATGTTAAGGTTTTCCAAAGGATGGTTTATTCAGATTTTCTTTCCCCACCTCAGTCTGGTCTTGCTTCAGCTGGTTTCACGATGGGGCTCTGACAAAATGTGTGCAGGCAGCTCATCATGGAGATAAACAAAACAGAAGGAAAAGTGGATTGGGGTTTCTCAGTGGTGTTTCCAATGTAGGTTTTGAGTGCCAGGGGTGGTTTAGGCACCTGGCTGTGGAGCCAGAAGTGGGGATTTCGATTCCCCACTGTTCCTTTTTGACAGGGGCTGGACTTGATGATCCATAGAGTCCCTCCAGCTGTGCAGTTCTAAGTTTATTATTTATTTTATGTGGCAGGTGAAGAAAAGGAGCTGGAAACATTGTCCTCAAACTCTTTGTACCTATTTTCAAACTTCAACCAACAGGCAGAAAGATAGGTATCCATGCATATCCGTTAACACTTCAGCTGCTTTCCAAAGGTGGCTGTGTGAGCATGGTTCCTATAGGAACAATATGATCCATTAAAACCTTAATTCTCATCAATATAATCTGTCTCTCTTTCTTAAGACAACTCAGTGTGTGAATGCACACTGTTATAACTACTGATAGATGGCAGATAGGAGATGACATAGCAGTTCTGTACAATCTTTAGATGTGTGCTGCTTCTTGGGACAGATACAATGTCAGTTCCAAGAGTGGATATTCTGAAAGTACTGTTCTCACCACTACTCTGAAATGTCTGATTGTTGCCTAGCTAGACATTTCAACAAAACTGTTTATTTTCTTTCTTTATATATTCATTTTCAGTAAGCTGCATAAAATACAAGATATAGGGCATTTCAGAGAGTTATTAAACATAAGCCTTATTTATTTGATTTGATTTATGTATATCCCATTTTTAGCTCAGTCTTATCTTCCAACACTCATCCTAGTCATGACAGGATGAGAAGTAGTATATTTCCACTTAAATTATAGTACTAATAATTCATTGGGATGATAACTGCATATATTAGTTTAAATTAGCATGTGCAATTTTAATGCAAAAATGTCCTCTTTTTGTGAAACATGTCCTTTTTGGTATTCTTTGTCCTCCATGACCTCCTTTTGGGTGATGTCTGTCCTCTTTTTTTTGAAGAAGGAGCAGCAGTCACTCTATCCAGTCCATACTGATGCTGGAAGAGAGCACAATGTTGTTGCAAGCTATCCCTGTTGTAATGCAAAATAGCTGAGGATGATTTGCCTACAAAGGTGCAATTAAGAGACACTAACTTTACAATAAAAGCACTGCTTATGCATTGATGTGGAACAATGCAGCTGCCTGTATTTCTGGAACCTCCAAGGTGGCTTGGGGAACTAGCAAATTTACTACTACACTACTGCATACACTCACATGAAAAACACCTCGACTTCATATTTAGGCTATAACTCTGAAACTGTCTATCCTGGAAGAACTGTGCTGAAACTCTGCTGATCACCACTGGTGCTGTATTTCAAAAGAAACTAAACATATGATATGAGATTACATGTGACATTAACTCTGTTATCTATCTCCATTACTATTTTTTGCCATTGGGACAAAGCTTCCAGAATCTGTGATATGCAATAATATAAACCAAATCCAAGATTACACCTTTTCTCTTTCTCCAATAACCACATGCTTCATGTCATCCATGTTTTGTATCTCACAGAAATCACTTGACTTGCAGGCTTCTGAAATTTCAGTTCACCATGAAGTTGTAACATACTGTGCATACCTTTAAAAGATTCACATTAAATTCCTGTAGTAACTGAAAGTGCATGCTGTTTATTACTTATGCAAAACATCATGCACACAAAAAATAGTTAACACACATGTGTCCTGCACTCAAAACTAAAACAGCAGCTTTTTAAAATACATATATTAATATTAATTCAAAATATTCAAATATTCTTTGGTCATACTAACTGCTAAAATAAAAATTAAGAATAATGAAATTTCTGCACATACTTTTTGAAATAAACGATTTAAGATGAAGTTTAAAGTCGTAGTATAACATATGTAATATTCATTTTTCAGTTATTGTAAATTATAAGCCTATGCTATTATAGTATAACATCATCTCCTTTGGGGTTTTATTTTTAAAGAATACACACTCAGAAGTTTGAAATATGAAATATTTTAGATTAGGCATGCTTTTCATTATCCACAAATTAATACAGGTTCACAAGACTCCTTTCCTTCTATAAACAACAAAGCAAAATCTGTTAATATTCTAAAGTGATGCCCTTTTAAAGTATAAATTAATTGTCTGAATCTTAAATTCCCAGATTTTTCTTTAAATCTAAATCCACACCCAGCTTCTCTGAAAAGTGTTAAACCAAATTATACAACAGCAATTCTTAAGTGACTGATTAAAATCTTCACTCTTTCGGTGTTTAAATCTGAAACTAGTGAAATCTGGTTCCTAAGGCATTGCATAGCATCTCTTCAATCGATTAGGGCATATTAAATAAAAGATCAGTAGCAAAAATAGCTGGAAGGATAATATCAGTTTACCACTGGGAGATGTCCCTGTTTCTATTTAAAGTCTTCAGTAAGCTGAAAACGTTTTGTTTTTAACTTAAGTGTTGGGTATAAATGGTAATTGGAGGGAAATCTTTCAGAAAAATCAAATGAAGAAGTGGCACTTTAACTTCCTGGCAGCATTTGAGGTGAGTTGCTCTCTAAATAAAGACACTAAATTTCCATTCTTGTGACTGGAGATGTATCAGTGGCTCAGGAAAATAGTTTGCATTCTGAGCAGGAGATACAGATAAGTATTAAGTCGCCTCTAAATCTCCTGTTCTGAATTGCACTGAAGTCAGGGCTGGGTTTTGGCTTTAACAAAGTGTGCCTATTTGCTACTTTATTCCAGAATGGGGTGGGATAATTTGAAAGCATCGCCATGCTGGCAGAGTGAAATACACAGAGAGCAGAGAATATAGCAGTAGCTGTACCACCTTAGATGCTTAATAGGACTATCTGTGCATTAAAAAGGAGTAGGAAGGAATGTCAATACTCATACCTTTGCATCCATGCCAAAACCTCTTAAACAAAAATGCTTTAGGGGTGCTTGTTCAACAGGCCTTTACAGCTGCTGTGCAACCTTTGTGCACTTGAATTGGGCTTGTATGTCAGCACCACGCAAGGCCCACAGAAATGAAAGGAGGTTGAACAGCAGCTGCTGCAAAAATGGATTGTTCCCTAAATTTCTAGGATGTTTTTTTTAATTGAGTGGGAAAGCTGGCAAAAAGCCACTCATGCTTTTAAGAGTAAATATCCATCCACCCTGTCTCAGCTATAACATGTTTAATGCTAATCGGGTCTACAATCCTGATGGATGATATTACTTGCATTTTAAAGGATGAATCTTGGGAAAGCAAATGGGGAAATGTTAGCAAAAATCAAAATTAAAGATTAAATCCTGGTGTTTGTTCTTTGAAAAATGTAATCTTCATAGAGAAGAACTATTATAGTATTACAAACCAAATTGTTAAGCAAACACTGCGGGCCACCAGAAATGCTAGAATCTCTGGTTCAGTGTGGTTTTATCATTGTAAAAGGAAGAGGGAGAAACTGGGGATTTTACACCTCAGATTTCACTAAAATACAAATTCATCTTCACCAAGATTAAATCTTACAAACACTGGACCTGTTATGCCATTTTTGACAGATTGCTGTAGCATATAATAATAATCATATTATTAGTCAGAGGCAATATCCCAGAATGATACAATGTGTTGTTTTTCACACTAATATTGTTCAGTATTTCTACATCTTAAAATATCTATTTGAAGTGTAAACAGAGGTTACAAAACCGCATTAGAAAATAATGTAAGAATTATTTAAGCCTACTTTTTTGTTTTTACTAAAACATTTCTTCTGTGCTTAGCATAGTTTGATGCTGCATTACCTTCTTTAAAACTAGATTCCTGTGTGTGTTCCTCAGTTTGGATAATAGCACTAATGCAATGTTTAATGTCATTTTTCTCTTCTATAAAAGTTACACATCCATTTTTAGCCAGGTATAGGCTGTAATTTTTTACTCATTACTGGAATAGTAATTCTTCTTTTAATTGTGTCCTTATAAATCAGATTCAACCACATCTGTGCCTTTTAAACATATTAACTTGCCTTAATTTCAATGACACACGTTTCACTCTCAGATTTTTCACTCCATGTCTCAGTCTTTACTATATCTATATGATATTTTGGAATGATGCCTAGCTGTGACCTATTCCAATCCTTTGCAGGTTTTAATGGCATTTTTTATAAAATGTCACATTTTGCCAGATGGGTTAGTACTGACCACTGTGAATCATCCCCATTTACTGCGATATTCAGTGCCATCTGACATTTATTATATTCACAGAATGTAAATTGAGATACTCACCAGTGGGCCTAAAGCACAGCCTTTTGCGGTACATGCTTGTACTCTGAAGGAATGCAAACTCCAAGGAGGGAGACCAGAAATACAGTAACTCAGCTTTGAGGAGTTCTGAACCAGAATGCCATTCATGTACAATCCATAACTAGTAATAACTCCTATTTTTGAAAGGAAGGAAGGAAAGGATTTAATCACTGTCAGACCACAAGAGGTTAAACAGGAGGTCCACCTATGGAAACTCAAGGCAATGCAGTTTTTTCATAACCAACATACAAAATAGAAAGTGTGCTGCTATAAAAATAAAAATCTCTTATGTTCTCCATGCAAAATCCTAGAAATTTTCCACTATTCCCTCCTTGTACAAATGAATATTTTCCAAAGGAAGCACATCTGAATTGATGATGATGTTGTTGTTGTTGCTGTTGTTGTTTATGTAAAGGTACTTTTCTAGTTGACAACAGTAAAGCAACTCTGTTTATGGCTCTATTCTGCATGTAAATATACAGGTAGATTAAAACAAGGACACTGGAGATAGATGGCCATTATTTAGAATCCTAGTAACTTCAGACCTATAAAAAATATGTGGTCCATATTTTTAAGCATAAGGCACTAGGAAAATACATGGCTAAATCCTGCTTCAGCCCTCCACTAGAACAGTTACTGTTGTGGCTCACATTTATCAATAAACATTCTTTAATATTAACTCAGATAAAGGTTCAGAACTACTGATTTTGAAAGGATTCCATGGGTTACTTAATATGATTGTTTCTTCAAGAAAGTATTTCTGAAAGATCCTCACCTAGTTTCTCTTAGAAGTCTCCCCAAGGAAGTAAATTTCAGAATTACTTGTTTGTTTTGTAAGTTTTTTTAAATGAATTTCCCTGCATTCCGCATAGCAGCTAGAGGTTGGTTTTTACTCGTTGCGTTATACATGAATGTTCTGAGTGAACAGAGCATAGAATAAATAGTTTTCATTGGAATCATGTTTGGGATGTTCAAGCTGCCTTCTCTGTATGCTACCCTTCAAATGAAATTTTGGGGTGGAATTTTGGATTTTTTTTAAAAAAATTTAGAACGTAATTACAGTTGCATCTTCAGGCATAGTCAGCTAAATAAAAAAAAATCAGACTGTAGAGCTCACAAACTATTTTGTGATGTATAAATGCAAAGCTATTCCCTTGCTTGGCATGACTATCTTGTTTCACGAATTCTTCCCTCCACGTTTTGGGCAGGGTCTTCATTCCCCTGCTCCTTTCTCCAGTGTGCAGTTAAAGCATAGCATGCATGGACAAATCATATAAACATCCTCTGACAACGTTATTCCCCTTGTAGCAGGACTAACCTATATCTATCTAAATCTCCAATCTTTATTCCAGTGTTTCCTCAGCTTACTGAGGTTAAAATTAAAAATTCACTGAGTCAAGCAAGATGTGCCCTTATCCCATCTTTACATACAACATTGTGAATACAGTAGTTGTCTCCTTTTGTTTTGATGTTTCAAAGCATCTTTTTGTGTTTCTGCCTATGTGTCACATCACTACTTCCTGTCCCACCTAAAACCTTGGGGAAATTTATTTGCTTGGCAATTGACACACATATCTATTCTCTAGACATGGGTACACTAACCTATACTAATGTGAATACACTGTTCCAGCATCCAGGGGATGAAATATATTAGAGAGGATGCATAAAATAAAATAACTGCTACTGTCATCATACCAGTGGATTTGCCTTTATCTGTTGACATGCAAAGTCAGAAACTTATTCTATTAAATTAATCTGGTTAACTGTTTAATTCCTTCAATGTTTCTGTTTGCTTACACTACCAAAGGCTCTTACTCTGGGTAGGAAACTACATTCCCTATGTATTGCTTCATGCCTACTTCAGACATTTGAAATTATCTCAAATAACCCTATTTCTGATGGGAAAAGCTTTGAAATATTTTATACTCTTCTGTAGGAGACAAACAAGAGATCATCTTTCAGCACTGTTCAAACTTAGAATGACCTGTATTATTCTGATGGAGTCTTGGAAACTGCCACATGCTGACAAACTTTTTTTTATTATGATCCAAAATAAGGGCACCCCATCTTCTCTATTCTCCCAGCTTCTTCTTTGCTACTAGGCACATTTGACTTCTAGGATCTGACTGTCCTTTCTAACCGATCCCTGAAAGTAACCTCACCCCAACATCTACCCCTTCCTGATGGTCAAATAATAGCAAACATGTAATCAATTCTTAGTCTACCATTTCCAACTCAAAGGAGCAAGAAGGGAGATCATTAATATCAAATATCTTCTCCTCCCCCCCAAAAAAAATCCACAAAGACTCCAGTTTTTGTGGAGTCTATCTTCTTGTTTGCAACTTTTACTGCAGGTTACCATCACATAGTGTAGTGATGTTGCTTTCTATGAGATCTGTAGATATGAAGTTTTTTGTTCTCTTATTATGGAGTGAAAAAATGTCCTCATCTATGCCTCTGTCTCAATTACCTGGTCTATGCAAAGCCACAATAGATGGACAACCACTCTTTTCACTGCACTGACTGTAGGACAAGCTTTGAAGAGTTACCCATATTTTTCTGTGTATAAGACACCCCCATGTATAAGATGCCCCCCACTTTTCTAACCCAAAATTAAGAAATCTAAGTGGGGCTTAGCAAGTGTAGGGGGAAAAGGGATCAAAGCCCTGCAGGATCACTTTGATCCCTGCTTTTCCCTCCACTTGTTTGTGTTCTCTCCTCAGCTTACTTCCGTGTAGAAGATGACCCTCAATTTTTAATCTAAAGATTTTAGACAAAAGTATAGTCTTATAAATGGAAAATATGGTACTTTTCAGGTAAGGGCTGCTAGCTGGAAAATTCTGGGGGCTGGTGTTTATATACCTGTCTTTTCCAAGCTTTAAGTTGCATGACTGGATATTTTGCAATAGATTTTGCTTACAGAAGTGTACTTTTGGTTATGGAACAATCCCTCAACAACAGTAGTTTCATTTCAACAACCTTGTCTAAAGAGAAGATCCGCAGGATCTTTTGCTCAGTGGCCCCACAATGTCGTGTTCACATTTGTTTGTGTTTCAGGGGCTAGTTTAAAGTTCACTATAGCACTGCTTGCTTTTGACATAACAATCCAGTTGTTATGACAAGAACTGCTATGAGGATTTAAGTAGGACTCTTCATTGGAAGCAGAGCTCTCTTCTTTTTGAAACAACCAGGTGCAAACCTTGGCTGAAATCTGGCAACATAACTTATGCCTTGTAATGCTGATGACATAATCAGCTGTGTTGGCCTCCAATACACTCCCCACAAAGGTCCCAAGGCTCCCTTGGAATCCATTCCAACATGGGGAAACCACTGGGGGGTGATGGGATGGGGGAAGTCTTTAATTTCCTGAAACTGCTGCCACTGGGATGATTGTACCACTGGTGGTGATTTTTTATGCTCACCACAGTACAATACCTAGATTTAGAAATCAACAGGTCAGGGCCCTATGTGGTGCAACAAAGATGAGCCAACATTTCTGCCATTCAGTGCTTAGACCCAATTTGTCCATCCATATTCATTGAAAGAACAGTCTCAGTCCCAGCCTCTTTTTAAACTCTTTTTGTGCTAGTGTTTTCTACACCCAATTCTATTGCAAAAGCAAAGCAAAAAAAAAAAAAGCAGTGTGCTATTTATATACTGCCTTATAACCACAGTGGTTAGACTGCTGTACTGCAGCTAAAACTCTACTCACAACTCGGGGTTCAATCCCAGGTAGCTGGCTCAAAGTTAACTCAGCCTTCTATCCTTCCGAGGTCAGTAAAATGAGTATCCAGCTCACTGGGGGGGGGGCGCAATGTGTAGCCTGCCTAATGAACTTGTAAACTGCCCAGAGAATGCTTGAAGAACTGTGGGGCGGTATATAAGCAGCACGATTGGTTTTTGTTTTATAGCACTTAAAACACTCTCTGAAGGTTTACGGTTTAATTATGCAGGCTACACCCCCCCCTGAACCGGCTATTCAATTGACCAACCTTGGAAGGATGGAAGCTTGAGTGAACCTACAGCCAAATACCTGGGATTGAACCTGGGTCATGAGCAGAGTTTTGGCTACAGTAATGCAGTCTAACCACTGCACCACAATGCTCTTTTGCAATGTGTATTTGGCATTGAGCCCCAAATAGTTGGGCAAAGCAGGAAAGGAGAAAGGAAAGAATATACAACAGATGGAGGTAATTCTGAAATCTGAATTGGCAAAGCAGACACTTGAATAGCTTAGCCTTCTTAGCCTACTTAGGTAGAATAGGGAAGGAGAAATCCACCAAGGCTTCCTTGGGCAGATCTTCCTCCACATCACCATTCATCCAATACAAATGGCTCCTGCCAACCAGTGCCCAGCATGACCAGTGTTACCAATGAAATGAGTGTAGACTCCCTCCTTGAGCTTCTCCAATACAGGATACAAAAGGGGACCCTTGGCAAATCAAGGATCTGACCTTGCAAAGAGGTCACAAATGGAATGCTGAATTCCACCTGATGCTTTCTTGCCTGAGACAAAAGAATGTTTCTCCTTATTTCTAACACAATAATCCATGCTTGTTTGTGTAATCCTCCGTACATAGATTTCTAAAATGCTCCCCTGTCCTGTAAACTAAAATGCTTGGCCACATATTAATTTTGATTTAGCTGATGTGAGTTACATTCTGTATTTTAAACTTCCAGGAAAACAACTAGAGTTTTCTTTATTCAAACTCCTAGGATGAGCAGGAATATCTTGTGGGTAGCAATTAGACAACAGCACAACCAATTACTGAAGAAAATGTGTACATCTAACTGTATATATTTCTATATACAGTGGTGCCTCGCAATACGACATTAATTCGTTCCAGCGAAAACGCTGTAGAATGAAAACATCGTAATGCGAAAAGAAAAAAAAACATTGAAATGCATTAAAACTCATTTAATGCGTTCCAAAGGGCTGTAAACTCACTGTCCAGCGAAGATCCTCCATAGGGTGGCCATTTTCACTGCCTGTGCAGTGAGGAATCCATCCCAGAAAACAGCGGGGGGGGGCATTTTGTTTCCCCGGCAGCCATTTTGAAACTGCCGATCAGCTGTTGGAAAATCGTCGTTTTGCGAAGAACTGGTTCCCGAAGCATGGAACCGATCATCAGAA